TGTGGAACATTGACTGGTTCAGGTTAACGTGTAAATCTCGGGTCGCCTGCAACCTGCGCTCCTCAAAAGGTTAAAAGACAGAAGTGACGCAAACATCCCAGGTGAGTCTGATCCGCAGCTTCCGGCAAATGTCACCAGAGCAAATCTGAACTTTGCTTCACTGTTGAATTCACTGTTATTATAAATCTGAGGTTCGGTTCATTCATATTAAAATAATTAAATATGGTCCAGAGCAACACTTCACTATGTTTAGTCCAGTTTTTATTCCTGTAATTTTCCACTAATAAACTTTTTCTCACTCAAGAATCTGTTTAATTTATTTTTCACACTCTCTTCATGTTACAATTAACAGATTAATAATGTGCTCAACATTCGAAGCACCTCAACACGTTCACTTGTTTTGACACAAACTGTAGAAATAAAATTCATTCAGCGCCTGGGTGTGTGTCTGATGCTCGTACTGTTTTCTTATCATTTGTTCATGTGAAATACAACAAATCAAGCTGAGAATGGACAAATAAATAAATAATATTGTCTCTCTGAGTTTGTTTTATGATCTATATTAACAGGAGCTGCTCCTACACCGTCCGTGACATCACTTGAAGTCACAAAGGACTGGGCTCTGCTGCAGTGTGCTGTTCGAGGTGCGTCTCSTAAACCTGTTGTTCAGTGGCAGAACAGAGCTGGAGACATTGTTCCTGCTGRAGAACCTCAGGTCTCTGAAAGAGGAGGCCGCTATGACATCATCCTCCAAACGACTGTGAACAAGACCGACCTCTATCGCTGTGTCTCCACACAGGAGGAGATCAAACACCAGACTCATGCTGAGACCCACGTTTATATCGGTGGTGAGTTTCTTCTTTGTTCTTTTTTCACATTTATATAATGTGAATTATTTTTGTGTCATTAGGTTTGAAAAAGGTTTCCACCCGTTGAGACTGAACAGAAACTAAACATTGATGAAGACAGAAAACGTCTCAGACTGAGTCAGATCAGTTGTGAGTCTCTGGGACTAAACTTCATCTACAGAGAGAAGAGGGAGGATGAGAGGATGAGGAGAGAAACAACAGGAAGAACTGGAGTTTGTAGTTAAAAGTGAGATCAGTGTGATCAGTCACACACAGTCAGAGTGTTCAGGCTCCTCCAGCTGCAGCTCACATCTGTACAGTTGATAAACTGTGTGTTTGTGCTGCATCAACACAAAGTGTAAAAACACTGATGGTCACATTCACAGGAATAAATGAGCTTCAGTCTGAATTCACCTTTTAGGAGCAAGAAGSTCCTGAATCATTGTCTCTGGACTGTGAAGATGATGATATGAGCTGTTCATGATCCACAGTTACACTCTGACGGTTCAGTCGCTGCTGTTTGTCCACGTGTTTCAGAGAAAATGTTTGAGCACAGAAACTGAGCTCATTGAGAAGTGGAGCTCAACACAAACCTTTCAGTCCTGAAACACGTTCCAGCTGTGTCTCCTGAAGCTGCACTTTTCCTCCACACGTACAACCACCAGACTTTGAATGAGATATGTACAAACACCATGTGTGAGTGTGAGAGGCTGATCACATGA